GGAAAGTGGTTTAATGTCTTATTCATCGTCCGCGTAGTTAGTCCCGTGTCTAATCTATATAGTGTGTGAGGTGTCTGGTCAATATCAGTTTGTATGGGATCATTCGACCCCCTACTGGTGCATTGTTCCTTTATAGATCCCATCGCATTTGTCTCATTGCGTGACATGTCATCTCTAGGAGGTATATCGCTGACTGTCTTCAGCCGAAGCTCAGATGGTCGCCTGCAACAGAACATGTACTAGCTTTTTAGCAGCCGTGCTACTATATGTTTTGACTGAAGGACCACCTTCAACACTGGGGCCACTTCCTTTGTAGTTAGGTGAGGTACGCAGCCGTGACACGGATTTCGCTAACTCATCATCCAAGCAGTGTGTTTCATGAATATAACATCATAGATCTTTATCGGGTTATTATTTCATGCTCATTACATGATTCATTTTCAATAACCCCGTGAAGAAGTATGGTTCTGGTTGTAGTTTCCTTCCGGTAGTCCTCTAAGGTGCTCATCCTATGGGATGTCTGGTAAGATACGGATGGAGCAGTGTTCAGTTCTGAGACTACCTGTCGACAGTAGTACTGATTCTACGTCAGTGATGGAGTTCAGCACAACGCGCCTAAGTCTTGGCTCTCCGTAATTCCTGGAGTTTGATTGCCGCGTAATACACACTACGTGTGCAGTTTTCAGTACAACTCGGATGAGATCACTGTTAATGTCACACTGGTTGAGGTCATCCAACTGCCTGCCACTTATTGATGCCGACTTTGATTATGGGCTATTGGAGCACAGTACACTCGGTACAGGTAGTTATTTCTTTACACCTTTCGACATTTGAAATAAATGAGAATGTCCGTAGCTCAGAGTGTGGATACGGATTTTAAGCTGTTCTCCGAGCTGAGTGATTATTGTGTAGACGTTTCGTTGCCTGACAAGGCAACACCATCAGTGGAGCTTCAGGGGCCTGATTCGTAGTGCCTCGTAAGCGACTTCAATGTCCAAGTGCTTATTGATCGAGTTCCGCTTTGAATGCCAAGCTTCAATGAACGAACATGCTTGCCGGCTTTTAGCCCTTCTGAGGATGCTGGCGTGCTCTAGGTCGAATGGATGGTTCACGGCATTCATATGCACTGACATCAGGGGGTTCTGATCGTGGAGAGGAATGGCTAGGCTGTGTTCGTGTAGCCTTGTGCCAAGATTTCTTCCAGTTTGTCCCACGTAGTGTTTGTTGCAGTTCCGGCAGCAGATCTTATAAATCACACTAGTTCCTTCCTCTGTGCTAAGTTTATCTTTCACGTTGAAGAGTTTGCTGCGAACTATTTCCGTTGGTTGGTGTGCAAATTCGACTCCGAAAGGCAATAAAAGGCTCGCTGCCATTTCAGAGATTCTGCTGATATAGGGCAGAGTTGTTCTCTTTTCAACTGTTGCATTTTTTGAGGTGTGTTGAGCAGCCTTTTGTGGTGTGAGGCAGCGTAGAATGAAGCCTTTTGGGTACGAGTTCCGCTTGAGCAGATTGAAGAGATGGTCTTCCTCTGCCCGTCTCAACTGCGGTGCTCTACAATGGGTTTGTGCTCATCTGAAAGTGTTTGCAAGCAGCTGCGTGTGTGGGCTGCCGGATGATTGCTGCCGTAGTGGAGGATGTGGTCAGTATGCGTAGATTTTCGGTAGACTGTTGTTTCCAATCGTTCAGCACCAGTCCGTCGTATGAGAACGCCTAAGAATGGTAACTGCTCGTTGTTCTCCTCCTCCCTGGTGAAGTGCATGCCATCCAAGACACTGTTGATTAGTTCATGTGTTTCCTCTAATTTGGAATGCTTGAGGATGACGAAGGTGTCGTCTACTTATCGTACCCAAAGTTTTGGTCTCGCGATCGGAAGGTCTATCTGTTCCAGCGTCTGTATCACTGCCTCGGCTACCAGACCAGAGATCGGCGAACCCATTGGTGTGCCTGTTTTCTGTTCGTAAATTTGGCCATTGAAAGTGAAATGTGTTGTTAGACAGAATTTCAATAACGCCATCATCTGTTTGGTGTCGAGTTTACTGCTTGTATCAGACGACGTGTGCTCCTCTAGCAGACGCGTCATTGTTTGCTTCGCCAAGCTGATGTCGATTGAGGTGAACAAGGCGATAACATCAAAAGAGACCATTATTTCGTCCCGTTCAATGGTTGCGGTTTTATGTTTCTCAAGGAACTGTTCTGCCGAGTCGATAGAGTGTTCCGATCCCGCAATTTGGTGTTTTAGCCGTCTCCAGAGCTCCTTTGCAGGTCTGTACTTTGGTGCTCCAGGTAACGACAAGATGGGGCGAAGTGGCAATCCGCTTTTGTGTACTTTAGGTAAGCCATAGAACCGCGGTAGTACCGAGTCTTGTGGTCGCATCATCTGGTGTTGCAATTTTGTGACTTTCCCCATTTGTTCCAGTTTTTGTACAGTGCGTCTGATGTTGCCTTCTAAACTACATGAACCCAGTCTAGCCATTCGTCGCCACGATCAGAACCCCCTGATGTCAGTGCATATGAATTCCGAGAACCATCCATTCGACCTAGAGCACGCCAGCATCCTCAGAAGGGCTAAAAGCCGGCAAGCACGTGCGGTCATTGAAGCTTGGCATTCAATAAACACTTGGACGCGGAAGTCCCTTACGAGGCACTGCAAATCAGGCCCCTGAAGCCGCAGTGATGGTGTTGCCTTGTCAGGCAACGAAATGTGTGCACAATAATCACTCAGCTCGGAGAACAGCTCAAAATCCGCACATATCGACATGTCGCGGTTAGTGATTGAAATACTCGGATATGTACCGCAGGAAACCGGTGGGGTTTGCACTAGAAAACTCCGCTACGCTCCTTAGTTTCCGATCTAGTTGTGGTTGCTGTTAATTTTAAACGATGACTCTTCTTGGAAGCAACCGGAACCCAACGTGCGCTAGTACCAGCTTGCACTTTTTCTACGCACTCCGTCAGGAGATTGGAAGTAACCTTACATATACTTACTCCGATCGAACTGGGAACCGCATTAGTCAAATGTGAGCCACGTTTGGTATTGGAACAGCAGTTGATGTTCTGGGCTCTTGGTGTCGCATTGCTTAAGGTGTTACTAGCCTTTCTTCTCAGGATAGGAGCAGCACTTACAGGGGAGGATTGGGTTGCACAGTCCGCTATGCTTACCACAACCGTAGTGATTTTGGTGGCCACAATTTCCACAAAATTGGCTAGTAGCTGGTCGTACTTCTGAGATAATAGGGGCATGCATTTTATCAGTGGGATAGATGTGCATTCCACGCAGAACCACAGAAAAACTGGTTTGTTTAAGGACGGCCTGACTAGATTTAACTCGGAGACATCTCGCATGGAAAAACTTGCAACAGTTATGGTACATAATGCTCCCATAACAAATTTGTAACATGATCCACATAGGTCTTTAGACTGTGGCACACTGATCATTTGAATGACTCACCCTCTGTGGTAAATGGTTGTTCTGTTACTGACGTTATCGGCAAGGTCACAGTGTTCACTTTGCAGTTGTGTGCTCGCAGACTGTCCTCTCTGATGTCCTAGTCCAATGGTCAGCGTGAACGTGGGGCAGATTACACCAGAGTGTGATTGGAAATTTTAGTGCTTAAGGCTATGGTTCGCGCCGAATGAATTTACCTTGAGACCTGTAGCTGCTCCAAGTTATGTTGGATTTGAACGAGTGGCAGTTCGTTCGAAAGCCATTGAAATAATCTATCAAGCGAGACCAAACAATGTCTCCGATGGTTGGAGTTACGCAACTTTTGGCACTGGGATATCGACGAAACACTGCCCGGAGGTTAGAATTCAGGGTAAATGTAGCATGCACTGGAGTATACTCGGGAAAATAGTATCACAAGATGGAGCTTTCAAAAACAGGACGAATAAGTATAGATCCAAAGGTGCGCGACAAAATAATGCTGAGACACAGTGAAAATACCACGAGTGCATAAGTGAGCGATTTGCCCACACGTTGGCTCAAGGTCACAACAGGTCACACGTCCGCACAAGATCAGGCTGTCAGTAAAGCTGTTTAGAGAAATGCTCTACAGTCTGAGATATTGTCTTCGTATATTGACTAACACTATTTCTAAGGCTTGGACGTTCCGCCATACTGTGCCGAATAAAGCAGTCCCATGATCAGGTTGAATGGTGTCTGCTAGCTTGTAACGTAACATTTGTTACGGAACGTTTCTGGTTGATGCGCTGGGCACTTGGCTATCTCTGTTCGGCTCTTTTGTCACAAGTTGCTGCAACGACTATGACTTTGAGTTGGGACTCCATCAGTATTCGCTGTGCGCATTCACCCGCAAAAGTGGGATACACAAGGATGGCGTGGTGGGCAAAGTGGTCACGTGAATTCCTTTGACTGTGCTACAGAACGAACCTTCGGACTGTACACATGCGATGCACTTGACAACTCTTTTGTACTACAAGATGTTGAGGCACAAAATGGAACTAGCGCCTCTTGTGGACCTTATGCGCTTTCCTTCCGTGGACTGTAGTAGAATTGGGTCTGTTTTCATCTGTCCACTGGAAGCCAGAGTCATTGAGGCAAACGACTGATCAGACTTCGGTGGCTTTGCGTTGGAAATCATTCTGGCTCCGCTATTTAGCCGATTAATTATGTACATTAATATGCGTGAGATCGGACAGTAAGAGTTTGACTCGGAAGCGGAGAGCCCTTCAGTGAACCTTTTATCCTATAATGCACATACCCACTGAAGGGTAACATAAAACGCCACAATAAGTACGAAACGTGGAGGATACGCTTTAGTTGTCTTATTTTCCGTGTGCGTGTGGATCTATATTGGTTGTGTGTGCGATTAACTGAAGCGTCTGAGCGCCAAGGTTTAGCACTGGAAACGATCCGTATGCCATAACAATGGGGTGAAGGAAGTAAAGCACTTTAACCTCTTCCCTGCACTCGAATAGGTTATATGAGTGGGAAGTGACGACAATTCTCATTACAATCATCCACAGTTGCTTTTCTCACCATGTGTAACAGAGTTTTGGACAGGCCAGTGTCTGATTCACCTTCACCGGATTTAAAGTCTTTTTCTGTTTTGTTCCAGTTTTTCAAGGGTCTTGCGTCCTCCGGCGCATGGGCTTGTTTCGATGAATTCAATCGAATTGAAATGGAAGTGCTGTCTGTTGTAGCTCAACAGGTGAGTGTTACGTTGAGTTTTACTGTTAGAGGTTGTGATGTAGATGGAGTCCAAATTGAATTCAAAGAAACTGATAATCAAACTAGGTTATGGTACAATCATTGGCGGATGCAACGTACTAACAGAGTGTACTGCAGGAGCAACGTCATGTGACACCTTCATGACGTAATTTTCCATACCCTAAACAATCCTCGACCGGATTCTTTTGCACTATCTAGAAGTTATTCAATAGTTATGGCTACTGGGTTAGAGAAAAAACCTGCAGAACTTCACCGCATAACCTTCACGTTCCTCCCGGCTACACTAGCAGAGGCATTCTCCTAGTCGATAAACGATGGGACGGTAACATTTTAGCCAAAAAGTGCCTCAGTGCACTGTTGGGAACGTCGGTGATGCCATCTAGGGAACGGCTTTCAAGTGTATTCTGATATTTCTATGTTCCATTATACTCGGAGGAGATTGCCATATGCTCTCAATTTTGCATAGTTGCAAAATCAAGTATCACGATGAAAGCTATATTTGCATGTCAGTTTCACAAGTAATCCGTTTTACTTTGATAAAACTAATGTTGGGATGAAACTGAGTGACAGGGCTAAGACACCGATCATGCATTGGTTCGCGGTACGGATTGTATGCGTTTCGGAGGATCGCCCAGGCCTACGCATTACCGATCGAACATCGAAAATCTACAAAACCCTACACCGTTAGCCAAGTGCTAGACCTCACTATAAACACTGCTTGCCTCAGCTTCTGAGGATGATCTGGATTCACAACGAGTTCTCATCAAACATGCCTTAGTTTCTGCCAATATCGATAGTACTTGAGGTGCTCGTCACCTGCAGAAGTACTGAATCTCCGCTGTCTCATTGCCGCTGATAGACAGACGCCGCTCGTTCCCGGCCGAGGCAATTTGCGGTGAACAGCGCCGGTCCCTGGGTCAAGAAATGCACAGTACTTCACAGATGGATCGTGAAATTTGGTGGTGTGAACGTGCTAGGGAGATGGAACTTGCTAATCTTGCTGGTAATACCAGAACACTTTCCATCTCATCCTAGTCACTGAAGGTTCCCGATCTGGTGTAAGCGAAACCATATGTGCAGAGGACTCACAAATCACCCATCTTCAAGCACGGTTGGAACGATGGCCTGCACACTTTGGGTCACGGTTTCGCCGGCCTCCACTAGGGTTGAGTGGTCTATGCCCACAGATCTTTCACCGAGAAATCCCGCAAGAACTCCATATAGTCTGCCTTGCAAACCAGCTATTTGCCGGTTCGAGAACTCACCGTTTTGTACACAAAGGCCTGGTCAAAAGAGTAGGTTCCATTGTCTTGGGGTAAATGGATAGTCAACTCCATTTTTCAGAAGGGCCTGCGTACGGTTTCAGTCACCAGCAGTAAGCCAGCACACTGTACCAACACTTCGCTGACATGAGACCATCACTGATCACACATGGCCTGAGTATACCGCAAGGACGCGCACCCTTATGCGAATTGGAACCGGTGACCTAAAGATTCCAAGCATGGCGTGCAATCATTTCGGCCAGCGGCCGACATGGGTACAGCGTGCTCCAGCTACATGAGTATAAGTTTGGTTCCGTTTGTCTATAGGCTTCTGGTGTCCGTCTTGCTTCGTAGACTATCCCCAGCGTGCGAATCGCTACAGCGAGAAGAGCAGGCTGGGTTCCGCCTTGGTCACGGCTGTGTCGATCACATTTTCACACTTCATCAGATTCTCGAGCTCCCCCATGTGTATCAAAATTAACTCTGGTTGTGTTCCTGCCTTAGATTCTGTCGACAGAACTTCAGGAATTTCATTCTGGTTTGTGTTGTGCTGTGTGGTCTGACCTCGGGTAGAGTTAGTACTTGTGACAATTTTTCGCCTTCTTTTGTTGCACCAGTGGGGTTCGACACAGATACTCTATCCCACATTCCTCTTCAATTTTCACACTGAGGTTAATCACTAAATATGATCTGGAAGGTTCATTTGACACTGGCGTTGAGCACTACCCAGGTAGTCGAGTTGTGAATGCAGACTACGCTGATGATATCGTCTTGGCGGTTAACGGATCACAGGCTGTCCAACTTGCACTTAACCGTTTGGTGCTTGAAGCATCAATGCCTGATACGCACTTTCCAAAACTGGTAGATGCCTGCACCTGCATTCACCATTGGTGGTGGGACACGACTATGTGGAGTTTTGTCCACGTTGGAAACTGCATCACTGCTAGTGGAGCTGTTGCACGCGAGACTTCGGTGAGTGACCCAAGAGCTCGCCTTGCCTTCTCTATGCTGGGGTACCTGTGGCATTGCCGTGACATCCGTCTCTCCACCAAAAGGCGGGTTTGTTGGGCTACTGGCAGCGCTGCACTGTCGTACGGTTGCGAGACCTGGCCTGTTCGTACTATTAGCCTGCACCGAGCACTGTTGCTCGCGACGCATTTCCCGTGTGTGTTGGCTGTACCACGTGATAAAGGTGAAAGTCAAACAGCTTTTGTTGGGTGGAGACAGTCGCTCGCTCGAGGCGCTCGTTTCACTGCGTCAGCTGCGGTGACTTGGACACGTATCGTACATGCGCGTTAGGCGTCTTCCGTGTTGTGGGTTGTTCGCGTTTGCTGGAGATGGCTGGCGAAGGCGGCGTTGTGCACAGCTTACCATTTGGAGAAGCATAACGACGAAACAGTGGAAGCAGTTGGCGTCGATCGATTGTTCTGGACTCCGCGAGACTTGACCTTAAGGTGGTGCAGCGGTTTGCGCACCTCGTCGACCGATTGTGCTATACTGGGTGGGGCTTTCGCGCTCCTTGAAATCTACTTCTGCCTGCTTGGTCAATTGGTTAGAGGACAAAAGTATTCAGTCTTCTGGTGCTCCCGTGTAGGGGGTTGGAAATGAGTGGCGCCCATTGCTATAAATCCGAATTGTTGCCACACCTGCTGCTTTGCGGACAGGTTTTTAAGCCAAATGCTTTGGTTAAGGGTCATAATCGTTCAGCTGTCTAGGTCTGGACTCCCTGGCAGTATCTCAGTCCACGTAGAACTATGACTATTTCGTTATACTTCAACCACATCCTGCATCGTCCGTAGCACAAATTATCATGGGTCGCCTTATCTGCTGCATACAGCATGGTGGATAACCGAATACACAATACTGCTGGCCCGTTCCTTCTTTCCTTCCCAACTGTTTCTCTTGCTGCCCTTCCAACCCGCATTGCTAACCTACCTTCTATAATTCCCAGCTTAATTGACATCAGCCGCAATGCCACTGCAGTTCCACCGTCTGCACCTTTAAACCCACACCACCTAATGGACGCCTATCGTCATCATCCCCTTAGAAGTTCAAACTCACGTTTCGTTAGTGGTGTTCAACGTTCCACTCTAAGACAAAACGCAACAGGTTGCACTCGTACGCGCCTTGTGCACCTTGGTTATTGACGCGCTTTTCTTGTCCGAAACTAGCATCAATGACCCTCACGTGGTTGTTGAACTAACCGCCAGACTTGTGACCTCGCTATTGGTTGCACGCATCCGCAGACCCTGCTGCGACAAACTGATCAAGCTGGGGTGGGTATCGGTCTCAGCTCCGAGGCTGGGCCATCGTTGATTAAGTGGATTTCCGAGAGCAGCCGTCTGTGTGCAACCCGTTTGACATCAGCAAAGGTTGTTTCACAAAGTTTGTAGCTTCTGCTTATGCTCCTGCCGACTGCAGTTCTGATGCTGACAAGTATACTACAATCTTTGCATCGTTCCCCCAAATGTTTGCATCGGTCACGCTTGAAGCTGTATTGCGTGCGTCATGTGACACGTTGCACGTGTGCGCTCGTATGAGCCGTACTCATTGACGTTATTCACCACCGGTCAGTCGGTGACAAGGCGATCACGTGATCTCACGTCGCGAACAATCTACGGGTATGGCTTATACGAGTGCACACGTGCAACGTGTCACATGATGCACGCGATGCAGCTTCGAGCGTGTCAGATGCAAACGTTTGGGGGAACTGCAACGAAGAAAAGGGGTAGTACTAACTGAAGAAGCTGCTTCGCAATGCTACCAGTTAAGATTTGTTGCTGCAGGCGATATGAATACGCCAGCAGGACTCATCAGAAGCTCCACTAGGTGGTAAGCATGGACTTAACTCCGACCGGACAGACAGCGGCGGGCGTGTTACAGCAGTGTGCGGAGCAACAGCTGTTTCATAGCAGCGCCGAAGTGCCAGCGATGGACTTAAATTGACCAGTGTCACAAGTTACAGGTGGCGTGGTTTTATACTGGACTGTCGCTCGTTCTGGAATACTTGCTTCCACACTGATCATGCTTTGGTACCCTGCCGTTTTTCGATGAACATTGCCAGGAGGCGTACCAAGCGCCTCTGAGAAGGTATTTCAGTCCTCGGACACGAAAACCTACAAGGATGCACTGCGTACCGAACTTTCGCTTTTGCCCTAATGACACTGAGCTTCAGTGGAATAGCATCTCGACCGCTATGCAGGACGCAGGGGCATTCGTTTGTGCTTCACTAGTTACTGATTACTGGTTGAAAGCAACAAGTAGAGTTTGCTCTAGGTAGCTGCATCTAATGTCACTCAAGGACAAAGACCCGTTAGGTTATGTTGCGCTCAATATATTTTGCGTCGGCAAAGACTTTGTCCAGGAACTTCTTAAATTCCGACACCGACTTTGCCTCAACTACGTGCTGCGCCAGGTCGTTCCATACATTCACCAATCTGCGTTCAAAACAGAGTTGGTAAGCGACCCGCTTCAAATCCGGTACGGCATGCTTGTACCTGTGTCCTCGTGTGCTGTTTGATGTGCGCAGATGACGCAGCGGTAATCTCCCAGGTGTAATATCCGGTGAGTCATGATGATGTCAACCCTCAGTCGACGGTAAGTTAGAGGGTACAGCCTTAGTTTATTACACCGGTCTTCGTACGGTACCTCGTAAGTTGGGAATCAGCCTGGTGGCTACTTGCTGCACTCGCTCAATCTTTTATACTTCGCCCCGGGT